CGGGGGTGAATTAGAGTCTTTTATATCTACTGAATGACAGCAAGCTTTGGGAAAATAAAAGTCACCGGTGGGATTCGAACCCACCATCTGACGATTTGATAACCACGAGCTTAACCATTTTGGTCATTTCAGAGAATCGCTTCGGGTCATTCATATTTACGTAGATAACAAAATCATTAATGACCAAGTTATACCGCACAGAATTTTGCTCTGAAAAAACTGAGCAATTAAATAAAATTGGATTTGAATTGAAATCGTACATTTTATTTTGTTTACGACGATTCCGGGGCAATAATCATGCTGGAGGATAATAGGCCTAAAATACAAAATGCCGTGTTCATCCCTCGGCGCGGCGTAAAACTGATCCGCGAGGTGACATTATCTCATTAACGGTAGGTGGCGCGCTCCAATATGGCGACTTACATCAGATCGGCAAGAAAACGAAAATGTGGCAAAAATTTTCCAGAACCAAAGCGTCTTGTGACTCCAGGAGATGTTATAACGTCTGACACTGATTTCATGAGGTGAGCGTGATTGTGTAAACGCAAATACAACTTCCGTACAGTCGCAAAATCACGGTTTTTGTAGGGCTTATAAAGTCTTACTCGTCTTAGGCTATAGCTTGGCTATGTTCATGTTGGCTGCGCGTCAACCATGGTGAACATGTTGAATGTTACCTGTAACATTATAACTTGTTACTATAAAAAGCGATCTGGGAGAGGATGCCATAAGAAAGATTTAGATGTAAATTTGGATTCCATTGGACTCTACAAAGCAAAGAAAAATTGATTTGAAACGGGGATATTTTGCGATGTTTTGTACATGTACGTGTGTAATCTCTCATGTCTGGTTATTCAGAGCAAACTGATTTTTTGTACACAAATGAAAGTGTGGATTGAGTGTGGATTTTGACTGAAAAGCTTAAAATTCACATTTCCATAAAATGTTTGTTCTTATTCATGCCTTTTTTCAATGAATTAAATGCTGGCTTTGCTTGAAATTTCAAAAATTTTGAAATTGAAATTAAATAGAGGAGCTACACTAAAGCCTGTGGAAAAAGACAAATTTTAATCACAGTTTCCTATGTAAGAAAATGAGTTCCCAAATAAACAGCGCCCTCACTCATTTATACATGTCCCTAACCATATAAACCACGCTGCGCGTCATCATTTATAACTTAGGTCATGCATACCATGCATGGAGAGTTTTTGAGTGCGATGGCTCGATCTGCACGATCACTCTTCTTTGCTTGATCAGTCAGCCCAGCTGTGCTGTACATGTAAAAATTTTTTAAATTTCACCCTTTCTTTATGGGCCTGAATGTACAGTGTAGGCCTATCTCTCTTTTGTAAGAAAACAATGATAAATGGCGGGGGTTCATGTTCTGTTAGTTGCCTCCTCCCTGATCTGTGATTATGTCCACTGCCCTTTTCTAATTTCTGTTAAGTATTATAGGGCAGCGCTGACATCCCAGACGTTCACAGAATGGCAGGTAGCAACCACACCTTGCTGATGAAAACAAAGTTCTGCAAAGAGCATATGTGTCCTTACTGATCAAAGAAATGATTGTGTAACCTGATCCTCTGACTGGCTTGTGCGCGTACATTGCCTATCATACCCCCAGAACTGTGGGGTCCGACATCTGCCCCACTCCCACTAAAAGAACTGTGGGATCTGACGTCCGCCCCACTCCCACGAAGATTCATGGGAGTGGGACGGACGTCGGACTTCACAGTTCTGGGGGTGTACATCGCCATTGTCGTTGTTTTCATCGGTGCGGTTTGGTTGCTACCTGCCATTTTTGGAGAATCCCAGATGTCTGCGCTGCCCCATTGCCCATTTCAAGTTCAATACTCACAAAGTGTCATTTTTACTCATGAATACTGGTACCATGTCAAACAATTTCATTGGCCATGCAGGGGACATGGAACATACATGGAAGAAGACAAGCTCCATGCCTCAGTCGCTGGTGTTGTGGAAACAGTCAATAAACTCATCTGTGTCAAGCCACTTAAGACAAGGTCAGGAGTTGGGTTGGGGGGGGGGTCAGGTTGGCGTAGTTCTTCTTTCCCCTTCTTACACCTCTGTGGTCCGGGTTCGATTCCTGGCTTGGTCCACAGGTGGATTAGGTTTTCAGTCCCTACCTCATCCCTAGGATTTTACCCAGAATATTTCTCTGGTGTTTTTCTCTCACCTCTAAAATTTAACTGTTTCTCATTTCAATGTTTCTGAGTCTTCAAGTACACGTACTTGAAGTTGGTGCATCACTTGGAAAAAGAAAAGTTTGTGTACACGTACAGTATACATGGTATAATTCAGTTTAGTTAACACAATTTCTTAATTTACCAAAAATGAATTTGTTTCTGATTCATAAGAGTTTACAACTTTAAGATTTTCCACGTTCTCGGTCTTTTTTGAAATTAGATCTACTGGTTAATGGTAGAACATGATCTTAGTCTTCAAAACTTGGCAAAATGTTCCGCTTATCCTTAGAATGGGGAATGGTACAAAAGGACACACAATAAATCTTTAAATTGAATATTTTTTCTCTGTACACATAGGTACAATGGTGAGGTTGGAGATGTGGTCATTGGTCGAATAACAGAGGTAAATATTGATGGATATGTATGCCTAAAATAATATGCTTTACTGCAAGAGATGCATTTGTTCCTAAGGAATAAAATATACATCATATTTCATATATTGAAGATCTTGTAAGTTGAACATGATCTAGATGCTGTCCCCTCAGGATGCATTTATACGGGCAAATTCAAAATAGCATCGGAATTGTAGTTGTGAGCAACGTAATCGAGAAAGGTTATCTTGACTGCTTGTGTCACTGGATGGTACGTTTTCACCTCATGGACAACTGCATTTGAGAGGCCCACAACTGCATGTAGAGCTTTCACATTAGCCCTCCTGGATCCTACAGCTCCAAATGGTTGTGGAAGATTTTGGAGGAATGAGGAATTACCGCAAGCTCAACCACTTTTACATAAACATGTATAAACTGTAGCACTGAACATGACACCCCTGGATAATTTCCAGCTCAGTGGAGGATTGTGTAGGACTTGAATATACTACTACTCAAAATTAGTTAAGGACCTCTTTTTTCATAACTTGTCATTTTTTTCCGAGGAATTAGTGGGATCTAGTTCTTTCCTTTTTTGTTTGTCGCGATTGTGAATTGATTACAGTGTGTTTCGGATCATTCAGGACAATTGTATTGGGGTATTTTCAGTAGAAAAATATCTCATAAAAAAAAGTATACACCAAATAAAAAGTGGTCCTTAACTTTGTTTGAGTAGTGTAGTTTCCTACATGCATGTACATAATAGAAACAAGAAGGGAGTTAACATGTTGACTGCTGTGCATATTTTCAAAGGGGCGTTCTCATTTGCCAAGCATTGTATACATGCATGCATATTTAATAGATACCTTTCATCTGTTGATTTGACAAACTCTTGGTGGCGCTCTAAGTATGGAATCATCCAAATTGCTGTGCATTCCAATGACTGTGCATGCTGAAACAGAACACGACAGGGGATGTCTTGCAGTGTCTTGTATGTGATGACGAGTGCATGGCTGGAGGTTTGATTTATTTCTTCAATCAATTTCTACATTCGTGGGTTTCAAAAAACGAAAGTTAAAGACAAAGAAATGCATTTTGCCAGTCCTGTCTGTTTTGCTTGGGTGTAATTTGAACATTATGACCAAATGGGTGCTTCGAGAAGGGTAACAGGATTGAAGCCCATGTCATTGATCATTTGTCCAGGTCGGTCAGAAGAAATGGAGGGTGGACACCAACTCGCGGCTGAACTCTGTCCTGATGTTGTCCGCTGTCAACTTACCTGGTGGAGAGCTGAGAAGGAGGTCGGCAGAGGATGAACTGATGATGAGGGAATACCTGGCTGAGGGTGACCTCATCAGTGTATCCTTTGAACTTTGACCCGTACAAGAGAGTTGCACTTGAAGTGACTTTCCAGGTTAATGTTGAGCGTTGTAGTCAAGACTTTTTAATGAAATTTCACACCAATACGCAACCTGGCTCAGCTAGATCATCCAAAAGCTCTCCACGTAGTTCTGCAGGATGTTGCAATGTTAATACATGTGTGCACACAGAACATGCCATTTGGTTCTCGCACTACAAAGGAATTTTGATCTGCAGCCTTTCTGATCAACCACCGAGGGAGGTTGATTAGAAAGACTGATTGAGTTGACTCGAGTCCAGTGTTAATGAGAAGACTCAATCAGATGTGGGTAATTTTGATATTAGAGGAAGACTTAAGTTGAATATTTTGTATGTGTAATGTGAGGCCAAGAGTCTGAAAAGTACTTTGCCATTTTATTTTCGAAAACGTAAATAAACCTTGTTTGGTTTTTAAAGGTCTTTGAGAGTATTTGACCGAAGCATGTAAACTTCAGTATGTGTAGATCTTGTGAAACTTTTTCTCAGAAATATGTTATCACATTCCATGTCTGTTCCAGAGGACACCTGTTTTTGGAACAATGCTGAAACACTGGAAGGTTCATCGAAGTCATTTTCACTGTCCTTAATAAACATATCCAGGCCGAAGTGCAGCAAGTTTATAGTGATGGGGCTCTGTCACTTCACACAAGAAGCCTGAAATACGGCAAGGTGACACAGCTTGTTGATCTTGAAGGATTATCAAATCATCTATGCTCTTTCTAAACCTGCTTTTCTTTCACTGAATATCATTTATTTCAGTACATTAAGCCCACTCATTAGCCATTGCAAGTTTGAAGGCCAGTGGGACAACATACACACATGCTTAAAGGGTTATTTTCAAGTGGATGGTGAGGTTTCACTAAAACATTTACATTCGGGCAACAGCTTGTTTAATGCTGAGGACAATGCTGTCAAGTTATTGATGTCTTGGAACTGCTTTTAAGCAACATACCATTCAAGTTATTCCTTTTAAAGCATTTTTGTATCACTTTATGTCTTCCAAATTTTTGTTACAAACCCTACCTTTACTTTAAGTACTGTTGTTCCATATAAACACTGTCTGCCACTGTGATGGTCACATTTTTCTGGTAGCACAAAGAAGGTTCATTTCTTATCTTCATACTCTTAAATTTTCACCAAAATAATTTAGGGTGTTTTTATAGAGGAACCATTGCTGATCATACTGTTTGCCTGTTGTCTTTTGTGAAAGCTCTGCCAGGGAATCCTGGTGACTGTCTCACCCTCCCTGGTCAAACGACGCAAGACGCACTTCCACAACCTGACGTGCGGAGCCAGCATCATCCTGGGCAACAACGGCTACATCTGGATCAGCCCCATCGCTGGAGTGGAGGAAGAGGAGGGCGGGGGCTTCGTTCAGAATCTGGAGGTGGGCATAATCTGGGGAAGCACATGATCGGTGCCTTTTCCACACCTACTGATAGTAATTTATGAAGTGATAGTGGGTATGTTCACAGGTTGAACTTTCTATTAAATTGAAAAGACTTTGAGGTGTCAGTGAGACACACTGTGTGCACATACTGTACTAGTTCGCAGGTGTCTGGCGCAGACCTTATGCGCTTGCCCAGTTTTCATCTGAATGGGCACAAACCCATTGTATCCTCACATGGGCAAGTTTGCTCATTATAGTGTATGCACCGATGACCCTCTCACAATTTGGTACCATCTTACCTCAAATTGGCATCATCAGCTTAGTGTCTGAAATGCTTTGAATTGCACACAGTTAGTTTTCTATGAGAATATGAGAGTTGGCTATAATGTAATAAAATGTAAAATTTCATCTGCCTCAGTGTTGGAAATGACCGCATTTATTAGAGCCTTTGAATACATGTACGTGCCGTGGGTTATGGAACTCCTTAATCTGGAAGAGAATTCCAATTTGTACTGAGAGCACTTTACCATGCAGCTGTCCTTAGTGAAAGACATCAAATGAGTTTATGTGAATTATGCATTTTAAAGTAATTTTAAAGAATTATATTTTTCCCCCTTCTTTTATTTCCAGCCTGTTCTACTCTCTGATAGAGAGGTGATTTCCCGACTGAGGAACTGCATTGTGGGATTAGCTGAGCATCGCATGATGCTGTACGACACAAGCATTCTGTACACCTATGAGGCATCACTAAAATACACAGTGAGTGGAAAACGTGGTCTGTTTGATCAGTTTATCTCTCAATGACGCAGATCTTCATATTTTGGCTGAATGTGGGAAAATAGGTATCAAAGCTGAAGTAAGATGTTTAGAAAACATGACTGGCCCTGTGCATACGAGTCAGAAGTTGCCTGAAACATGTTTGAGCTTTAATTTGTACAGGAAAGAGTAATCTTTGCTTTTTGTTTTAAGGTATCACACCGTTTGGTTTCCTTATGCTACTGGGCATTATGCTGGTGAAAAATGTGGAAGGTTTCTTCAGATATATATTGTGCAGGATTCTTTCAAAGTGAATTCCAAAGTGACCTATTGACTTTGGTCTTATTTTTATGAAGCAGGTCACTAATTACAGAATTAAGTTGGGTGGAAGTTCGTCTTATTCTGAAGGTATTTGAGAGCTCTTGAACTTCCAAATTGTCAATTTTTTTTTCTTTTTTAATGAGAGCCCCAAATGATCAGCTCCTACTGGATGGGTTACCCTCAATGAAGATGGTTTAAATAAAAAAAAAGTTCTACACTTGTCACAATTTCCGATCAGATTTACCGTTATCTTGAACTTGCACTGCCTTTCGGTATTTAGGGCAGACGTGATAACATCATCTTTTATTTGGTTTGAGCATAATAATTTCTGCTTGTATGCAAACCGCAGCTTGAGGAACTCCTGAAACCAGAGGTCATGGAGGAGGTTGTGGAAGACACCAGGCAGAGACTGGAGCAAGAAACGTAGCACACGCCCAGCCACAGTGGAGTATCCTCATCATGTTGGGGGGGGGGCATTTCAAAAGTTCAATGCTTTTGATTACTTTGAAAAAGGGAAAAATATGGATATGTTTTTTGGGGAGGGGAGAACTTGCCCTCCGTCCTCCCAACATAGCTACAGATAGACTTGCAGACACACTCCATGGACAGGACAGACACACTCCATGGACTCCACTCCATGGACAGGATGAGGAGACAGAGAGGACGGTGGTCACTGAGATAGGAATTCTCGTAAGTGCGGTAGTCCACCCGAATGACTAACACACAACTTTCCAGACATGGCTTCGTACCCACATTTTCTTCAGGATTTCCATGGTCACAGAAAATCCTGGGGAAAAAAGTTGTCTTGGAAAGTCGTGGAAATGTGGCGGAAAAATGGGTGTTTTGGAATCCGGTTGTCAGAGGGAAAAAGTCATGGAAATCAATATCGTGCAAGGGTTATTTTTGATGGACCACTTTTGATATAATAATGGAATACATGTAACGATACATTTCTAGGCTTTCTTTGTCAGTCTGAAGTAGTGGCTATGGCCGTCTTCAGTTCACAACAGAAAACAACTTGGCAAAATAACGTTAAACGTCATGGAAATTGTCATAATTTAAGTCCTTGAAATTCCAGAAGTCATGGAATTTGGTTTTCAGAGGTCTGTGAGAACCGTGCTATTTTGAAGTATTTAACTTATCTCCCCTTCAAACAATAAATTCTGGCATTTTGAACTCGTTTCTGATGCGTCCAAGTAAATTTATTCACACAGTAATTCCTGGTGTCGTGTTCAAAACTTGAGAACCCATTGGCTAGTCAACACTCTAAACATGGAGTCACAGCAATACCAGTGACAACCCACTGTCTAGTACAAGGACTTCAGCAGCGACAGCAATGCGCAACACGTAACTTCTCGATACTCTGCCTCATAACGTCCTTTTCCCTTGGACCCTACCACCACCAAAAGCTCTTTTTCGGAGCTGTTGGTATATGCTCACGTCATCGATGATTAATGTCTCGTCCGCAGACATTTATGTTTGTCTTTGGTGATCATTTCACTTAAGAGAATGGTGGCTGTACTGGTTTCATCTGTATGGAAAGTGATAGCTTGAATTCACAAATGAGTACCATCCGCAAGAAAGATGAATAATCACGGTCAAAGATCAGCACCATTCTTTCCATGGATTATTTGTGCCATGCTTTGTTAGACAACATGAAATAGAACCAGAGTTGTAATGACTCAAGTCAATGGCTTGACTCGAGTCCTGATGGGTAAATGACTGGAGTCTTTGTGACCATGACTTGACTTGTGATTCTCTCATGGAGACTCAACAAGCTTATATGTACAAGCTTATAAGACTCAAGTCTCAGCAAAATAAAAAGCATAATTTTTTGGGGTGAAAAAAAATATTTGAGATTGGACTCACGGTGCTGCTCTTATAGCGATTGAGAATACGTCGTACAGGATGTAATACATAGCATGTGGCACAGCGCGCCTGTCTTTTTTCTGCCTTCATGCATGGAAAGCATACCAAAAAATAACTTACATGTGCATGTAGTTGCATTTTTATTATATTCTGATCCAAAATTTGTGAGTCAAATTGACTCGAGCTTGGTACTTGACTCGACTACACAGTGACTCGACTTCTTGACCTGACTCGAGTTGACTCGCATCACAATGTTAAAATGACTCGACTGGACTCGAGTCACCAAATTTAGTGACTCGTTACAACACTGAGCAGAACTAGGAAATACAAACTATAGAATATGAAATCAAGTCAGTCTGAAATGGTTGATCTTATGCTTGATCACATGAAATTTAAACTCCAATGAAATCTGGTTGCTTTTCCGTTGTATTGGGTAAACATTCACAATCTTCATTAATATTTGCACAGTACCTGCAATGAGTTCGCATTTTGAGGGGCCAGGACTTGCATTGCACTGCGTCACCGTATTGTGAGTTGAGTTATACTGCACAATTCAGTAACTGAATTTGTCGGCCAGATTCCACATGGAAGTGTATTAAACTGAGAATATGTGCTGAAAAGTCCTCATTGATCACAATTCTCTGTGCCACTCCCCATCTTTGGTGATAATTTTGCGGCAGAAGAAAGGTCAATTTCATCTTTAATTATCAGCACTTACATGTGAAATGCATTGTCTTTACCACTTGTGGTGGTCATGGTACTTTAATGACGGGGCAGTTCTTCCAAAATGTTTGGATATAAGCTTGGATATTTTCATTAAAAGTTCTTCTCAAAGGTGAGGCTTTCAAAATTAATTTCTTATCCAGAAGCATCAGGACACTGCACTCCTGCTTAACAAAAGAGTGCACTGAATAAAAAAAAACATCCTTTGAAAATCGGTTGTCATTTTTGGACAAAGAGAGAAGAGCCTACAAAATTTGTCAAGTTATGATAAGCACAACGAGTCACTCCCAGGTTTTGAATATACTGAGAGCATGTTTATACATGGGTGCATTTGAAATTTCTTTAAGGCTACACATTCTGCTGAAAATGCTCATTTGCAGTCTTATAAAAGGAGAAATTACGCACGCTACAACAAACAAATGTTAGTTATGTATGCCCAAGGCTATATAATCATAGGCATTTTGCGGAGTGTCCATGTAGAGAGCTGATGATATTGCATTGCCGGTGCACTATTTCATAAGCGTTATCTCAGCCTAACCTCTCAGAACACCGAAACATCGTTCAGATGGATGCTCGTCTCCGATTTCTGCAAATAGGTATTGGGAGTGCTGGCGTCTTGGGTAACTCTGTCGTCTGCGCCGTCATAGGTAGGGTACCGGCCATGAGGACCGTGACCAATGCGTTCATCTTCAACCAGGCGCTTGCTGATTTCCTTGGCTCGCTGTTCATGATTCTTTACACCGAAGTCAAAGCACCGGCAGTTCTGCACAGCAACACCGTGGTGGCCACTGCCCAGTGTTACATTTGGCACTCAAAAGTCATTCTCTGGGTTCTTTACACCACCTCTACTCTGAATCTCGTCGCGCTAACGCTAGAGCGCTACGTCGCCATTGTGTTCCCATTCAAATATGTGACGTATTTTGGCAGGAAACAGGCGACAGTGTTGCTGAGTGCCGTTTGGTTGTTAGCAGTTGGCTACAAAGTGACCAACAGCCTCTACTACCAAATAGTTGATCGTGCCTGCGTGTACGCCCACCTGACGGCGGTAGCGAGCATGGTGTGGGGAGTTGTTGCCTTTCTTGTCGAATATCTGATGCCGTTGATTTTCATGACAGCCTGTTATGTCCATATCGCTGTTAAGCTCAAGAAAGCCTCCATGTTGGTCCACACCCGGCCAGCAAGTGCCCAGAGAGGGGAGTGTGTGAGCGGCTCCCTGCTTCGCGCCCGACGTAACACGCTGAAAACCCTCTTCACTGTCTTTGTGACGTACGCCATCTGCTGGTCTCCCAATCAGATTGCATTCCTCATGTTCAATTTCGGGTTTCTGCCCGAAATGAGTGGCACTTTTTACTTCTTCTCAGTGGCACTAGTCCAGCTGAATTGTTGCATAAATCCCATCATCTACGCCTTCAAGTACAAACAGTTCCAGACTGGTGTCAGAGTTGTGCTAAAACCCTGTTGCCAGAGACTTACACCCAGCCACAAGAATGAGTTACCAACAGTAGCCCGAAGTCACAACGATCGCGCCTAAGCACAATCAAGATACACTGACTGGTCTTTTTCTAAAAATGTACAACACAAAGTTGGACTGCAAAAAGGGCTCTTTGACAGCTGTGATTATGTAAACCAAATGAATAAAACAAAGATATTCACATGTAAATCATTAAAATACATGTACCCAAGATTACAGTGGCAAGTCATTTGGTCCTTGATTTTTTTGTTTTTGTGCAAGCTGCCTCCTACCTTCATTTAACTGAAAGGCAACTTGATTGCTCACAATTTGTAAAGTTAAAAGAAGAAAAACAAGCCTTTATTTTCTTTAGAGAGCATTTTTCTCCTAATTTGTGATTGTCTATAATGTCATCAGAGATAAATGTCTGGGCATCCAAATGGTGGTTACCCACATCTGTTTAAAATTGTCAAGTGTCCTCAGGAAAGGTTTTGACATGTTAATCCACTACCTTTCATACTCAGTCATCACGATTCTGTAGAGTTGGGAAATGCATAAGTGTCAGAGTAATGCTAATTTTTATGGCACTGCTATTTTTGAGTGTTGTAAAGGTGGATGGTGGTACCAATTAAAAGTATTTTAATGGCCTATGGTCTGACGATATCTTTTTATGTGGACGTCAGTGATAATATTGAGATATTTGATTTTGTAATTTTTTTTGACAATGTGTGGTACTTGATACTGAAAAATGAATTCACAATCTAAAACACCTGTTCAGTGTTCTGAACAGCTGCTTATGAAAGAAAGGGTTTAGATATGACATGGTTTAGAAATGAAAGGGTTTAGAAATGGTTTAGAATGAGACAAGCTAGGGACTTGAAAAATGTTTCTCCTTTCTACTTGTTCCATTTATTCAGAAACTGAAATGCCAATTATGGTTTTGTCAATGGATTTATCTTGTTCAGGCACAGGCTGTTCATCACAGAGCATATGAGAATAATTACAGAGGATGATTGTAGTAAAGACAGCATCGTTCTGGTCATTCTGAAACACTGCTCCTTTATCAGTGTTTCCTAGGGACCAAATGGACCGTTAGTTTGTTTGATATGGAACGAATCACATCAAACAAAAGCTGGGAAAAAATCAATTTGATATCATTCAAAACGATGTCTTTTGTGAGGCTCTTAAATGCTCTATCAGTGTTGTAGTCGCGACCGCTACAAGACCGGTGACAAGGCTAGTGGCAAGACCAATCACAAGACTAGACACAGGACCAGTAACAAGACCAATCACAAGACTAGACACAGGACCAGTGACAAGACCAATCACAAGACTAGACACAGGACCAGTGACAAGACCAATCACAAGACCAGTCACAAGACTTGACACAGGCCCATTGACGAGACCAATCACAAGTATGTGAACAATAACAAAGGAATGCTTTCATTGAGGTTCACCTGAATTAAGCTTTAGGCTTGAATTTGACTGGAGGTCTTGTGATGGTGTTCTGACAGTCGTAGGGGGACTTAACTACAACACTTTGCACTTTATAATTATAATATGCAGCTGCCAGTGTTGTAGTCGAGACCACTTAAGACCTTCACAAGACCAACACAAGACCAGTCTGAGTTCAAGTCATAAGCTATTCAAATGAACTAGGACAAAACCATTCCTTTGTCATTGTTCACCCTGTTACTTGTGAGTGGTCTTGTCCATGGTCTTTTGTCTGGCCTTGTCTATGGTCCTGTGTCTGGTCCTGTGATGGTCTCGATTACAACACCGGCAGCTGCTACTTCAAGGCTTGTTTAACAACTGAAAAGACCCACCTGAAAGTCAACATGCCATTACCCATCTTTGTACTTGGAATGAATAGTCCTCGCTGCTCATGATGCTACATGTACACTTTATTTATGGGTTATTCCAGAAATTAGGGATTAATTTTTTTTTGTCCCTGTCACATCTGACATGTGATTTTGTAAGCTCAGAACACATTTTCTAATTTCCAAGACTGACGAATTAACACAAAATACATGTACCTGCCAAACAAATAGTAATACATGTAGTTTGAAATCAATTCCGGTGATATTTCCATGTCAAATACCAAAGGTCATATCTAACTGAGATACAGAGATACGAAAATGTCACACTTTTGGACCCCTACTTTCTGGAATTACCCTGATAAGTGTGCTTTCCTATGGTGCTCTGTGGACTGTGGGGTACATGTAATGAACATATAAACCAAATGTTCCATCATCAGCACAAAGGTCTGTTGGACACGTACCATATACATGTACAGCAGAGAATACTTGTATGTTGTTGAAACTTAGACCATTTTGAAACAATGTGACACCTTGTTATTTTTATAAACTTGAGAGTTTTGTAAGGCACACTTTGGTTTATAAGTATTTACAATAAAGGCACAACAATTTCAGAGTGGATATACATTATGGAATTCAGTATTTTGGAAAATAAAGACTTCAAATACACCACCAGAATTAAAATTGACAGGAAATAAAAACTAAGTTGATGACACGCACAAAACCATTCTAAATCAAACCAAACCAAATCAAATCAACATTACATGTAAGGAAAAATAAAAATTTTAATTACAAACAATGTTTTGATGACTGATGTTTCAATGTTGTATCATCTTTAACTGTATGTTAACTGTATGTGGCATAAAAAGGAACTGCACAAGTGCTTAACTACCAGGGTATGACCAACTATTTTTGGTACTAATCAGTCTAGAGTATTAAGGGCATAGTGATCTTTCCCTCGACAACAAATGGTAGTCCAAGCATGCAATAAAGTTAAAAGCAGACCTTCAATTCATTTTGCCAGCATTGGGTAGATTTTAATAATGGTGTGATCCTGGTACTTCACCACCAAACATAGCTTGGATTTGTTTTCCATCTACAGTACAAGTACACTAAACACAGACAAAGACATTAGTTCCTGATCCTAGACAGCGGTTGGCTGTAAAAAATAAGTTCATTTCACTTTCAGCAAGTATGTATCTTTTACTGATTGAAACATTCACTGTGCCTGATTCACTGATGTGTAACTTGCCTGATTTCTAAGCAGCTCTATTATTACTGTCTTAAAAACTGTTCACAAAATATGTAAATAAATATGGATAACTAAAACAGCGTTTTGCCAGTACGAGTTAAATAAATTCTCCTGCAGCGTATTGCGTATTGTTGATACTTTCTACACTCAATTCCTGAATGCAAAACAGCACTGCTGTGATGAGTGGCAAGTGTACAAATAACTAGTGTTTTTACTCGTCAGTGCGCAAAGACTTGTGAAAATGGGTCTTCACGCGTCTACATCATTCTTTATAAACCTCGAGTATTATTTTGGTAAGAATCCTGGATTACTCTCGGCCATATGCTGTGATCTCTAAAAGGAGGAAGTGAGTCTGCACAGTAAAATCTCAGACTCAAAGGGGATTTCTTTGCTTTAAATCTATGATTATGTCCATGCCCCCTCCACTTAACTTTTAGTATAAATCACTGAAAAACTGTCTTCTGCCCAATAAGGAAAACCAGAAATTACTTTGAAAACCACAGTCCAATTTTGTGGACTGTTTAGTGGAACTGACTGTCAGTGTTTCAAAGGGTACTTTTTAACAATCAAATTGATACTTATGTAAATGTACTTTGGTGTCTGGCAAATCATGCATTGGACTGAATAGACCAAATGGAAAATGGTCCAAATGAGCTGAAATCTTTTATACGCCTTCGATGCATGATGAAGCCCACTTGTAAGCCTTGCTTGTGTCAGTCCTTCACCTACCTGATTGTGGTACCCTACATCCCTATGCCTGAAATAATTTAAAGCTCCACCCTGTCATGTCCGCAACGGCGTGTGGCCCCTCAGAGGGGACCCGCTGAGGGAGGTATCTCCAAAGACGTTGGCGTAGGAGTTCTTGAGGAACTGGACGTAGTTCTGCATGCTGCGGTTGGTGCTATGGGACTGCTCTAGGCGGTCCTTCAGGTCGTAAAGTTGAGAGTTGAATTTACGCTCCGCCTGAGATTGGGATCAAGGATAATGTCGTCCAATAGTGCTTCCCACAGTATTTCCAACCACCACAAAAATGCCTATAGAGGGTTTGCATGGCTGTCATCTTGCAGGCCAGTGCTTTTGTTCCTCAGGGTATGCATAAATGAAGTTTTCCTGCAGAACAAGAGAGCTGCCCTGCAAGATGGTTACCTATACATAGCCTCTATACAAGCAAATCTTCTCTTAAAACTTTCCTACATTTAAAAAAAATTATGAAATACATGCAATCTCTTGAAGATTCCTAAAAGTTAGATGTTGGTCCCAAAAGCATGGACTAGAAGTGCTTTCCACGCTCTAACAATAATGAAAGCATCATCAATATTCACAAATCTTTCCACTGAATGTGCACAAAATGTCTGCAATGTCTGTAGTGTTTTCTCATGTGGAACCAACTCCAGACTCAACCCTATCCAAGGCAACAGTGTAGTCCAGACAATCACTGGACTATTCACCATGTACGCAAGACCATCTGCAATATAACAGGGTGAGCAATAACAAAGGAGTACTTTGTTGTGGTTAACCTGAAAAGCTTGTGACTTAACTTCAGAATGGAGGTTGTGTATTGATCTGGTGGGGGCCTGTGATGGTCTTAAGGGGTCTCAACTACACTACATCAAGGAAACCAGAGGTTTCCCGGAAACTGCATCCACCCTCCCCCACCCAACAAGTCCTCAAGGCCGACTCACATCCTCCTTGGCCCGCTTTGTCTGGTGCACTTCCCCCTTGATCCGGTTGAGCTGTGACTCCAGGTCCATGATCCTGGCCTGGGCGTTGCGTTCTCGCTGGATGGCCTTTTCCCTTCCCTCCTCCTCTAGGCGCCGACTGTCGCTGATGGCCTGCTCTAGCTGCCGCGTCAGGCTGGAATTCTCTCGGGTCTTGTCCTCTAGCCTCAACTGGAGAAAAGTCATCAATTTGTTGCTCAGTTTCACACACCACGAAGAGTGATGAACATAAGCACTGATAATGGGCAGACATACAATCAAACCAGGATGCCCCACTCTTGATTTCTCAAATGTCTGCTGCAGGTTTACTGCACCATCTTGGATTTGGCCAGATAGAGAACTGTACAGTGTTCCGAGAAATTTGAAAGATTATGAAACAATACAAGTCAATGCCACATGTTTCCAATTAACTTTACACTCCCTAGCTGCAAGCTCAAATTACTTATACTATTCTGTAGTTAATCACTCGGCCCTTCTTTTGTACTACACAAATACACAAATTTGTGAAGATCCCTTCATCGAAGCAACGATGTTAGTCTGAAAAAAATCTCAACTTATATTTGGAGAGTCCAGAAAAACTACAGAGTGCTTATATTCTGGTGCCAAATGAAGACTATTTGGCAGTGCCTACAAAGGGGAACTTTCAACTTCCAACCAAAATGCATTTTTCAATGCAACAGCATCTGTGATTCCAATAACATGCGCAGCTTTTTATTTGATTGAGAATCCCTCCAATGAACCTTGTGACCAATATTACCTGGTTTTGGTGGATGGTCTCTTCCCGTTTGGCAATGATGGCATGGAGCTCCTTGTTCTGGTCTTCAGCTTCTTGCAGGCGCCTTCATATTACCAAAAATAGCATTACAATAATCAGAACTACTTTTACACTAGACTGACCAATCAGGCAGTGACATTAAACAGTGATTGGTCAGAGCCCCAAAAAGAGCAACTCAAATATATACGTGCGAGAAGCAGAAAAGTTGAAAAACTTGAATCTTAGTGTTGTCGTGATGACTTTTTCTTAGACAATTTTTCTGAAATTTTGCTCTCTTCTCCAGTGTATGAAAACTCTTTTAACACTTCCATTTGGTCAAATGTACTGAAAATCGCACTTTTTAAACACTTAAAATTACATGTACATGTATCTATGCTTTCCCCGACAATTGAGGGCGCTCTTGCTGTGATGTCATCTAGGGAAGACACAGTTCATTGCAAACACAGAATTTACTTACTGAAAACATTTATAAGAAAAGCACTGGTGCTCACTTATTGCTGTACACATGAACAACAAGGAATCAGCAAAGAAGACAACATTTAGTCCAGCAAAATCTACAAAAATGCATGACACTTTTTGTGTATAAAATAAAGTAACACTTAGGCTTTCTTCCCAGCATCACATCACAACCAAAAAAGGCAACAAAATACCCTTTGAAACAGTGCAACAAAAGTCGAAAATAAGGTTGACTGAGACACAAAGGTGCACTTATAAAGAACTGTAATAAAGTAAATTAAATGCAGGTACCCAACTTCATAATTGAACTTAAATGCTGACTCTGATACTTTCTAGTATGCAAAATGTTGTAAAGCCGACATACATGTACATGGCAGGTTTCAAGGCAGGCGACAGTTTGTACAGAGCTGTATGGAGATTCTCACAATTCTCTCCACACACGGCTCTGATTTTGTGCAGTTGGCAATGATGATGATGTGAGAATACCTACTGTACCTTTGGACAGACTCCATTTGGGCGCTTAGAGACCTGTTGCCATCCTGTGCTGTGTGCCATTTATCCCTCATTGTTTCCACCTGCTCAGTCTGGTGTTCGACCTAGTACAGAAAAGTGCAGGGGGCAATATCAAGTCTTGTTGCTGATTTTTAGTAAAGTCAAATCAGCACACGAAGAGATAGCAGAGGGAAGGAATAACTCCATGTGTGAATACAGTCTCAATGATCAAAACTTAAAAAATTACCCATTGGGAGAACATTCCGAGTTCTTTGTGCCCATTCTGTTGAAAATTGGTTGGGAGTTGTCTTAACTGGTAGTTGTTTGGGAGTCAAGTTACCCGGTAACACAGTGGTTCTTTCCTCGTCTTCCACCTCTGCGGCCCGGGTTAAATGTAGATTGGGTTTTTCTGTCCCTACCTAAGCCGTGGGTTTTACCCAGAATATTCCTCTGGGGTTTTCTGTCCACCTCTAAAACTGCAACTGCTTCTCATTATTTCCTCTCTACAGGTTTCTTCAGGCTTGCGAGCCACAGTGCCAGGGGCACTGTAGAGGAATCCTTAGTGTCATTACCAGTAAAAAGTAATATCAATAATGCTAATAAAATGATAACTAGAACAACTAACGTCAAACCAGTTGACATGTAAAGTCTTCTCTCCATTACTGATGTCTATCTCAAGTGCCTGGCACAACACTGTCTCTGCAGTTAAAAGGGAATGATCTCAAGCTTCCTCACCTTGGTAGAAAGATCTGAGATGACCTTTGTCTGTTCAGAGAATCTTCTCTCCTGGGCCAGAAGCTTCTCTGTTGCTTCAAGGAGCTTCTGTTCTGAGTTACGCAGCTGCTCCGGCAGTGGTTCCAGCTCTTGTAGTCTCCTCTCCAGGTGATTCCTCAACTGAAAATTAACCCATGATGCAGATGAGACTGTGAATGCAAATTCTTTAAGTTTGAACATGTACAGCTGTTGGCGCCTTGAAAGGTTTGTACGTGAAATCCATAACTGAAACTGGACTTTAACTATGGAAGGTTTATGTAGCATCACCATGCAAATACCTCTGTTGGGTAAAGAATCGGCAGATGACCAATTTCTTCAGTTTCTTCTAGGGCTGTGCCGAATAACCGAATATTGGATCGTTTATCAAATAATCCAATATTAATTTTCAAATCTGAATATTCAAATGCAAAATTCATGAAAAGGAAGGGAAAATTTTCTTTTATTTCAAGCAGATTCAAATGAAAAGCGTCAGGAGTTTTACGATTAAAAAGTAAATTATTTATTAAACAATTTAAAAGGAATAGAAATTTTCAACAGGGCAAGAAGTCTTGTTCATCTCTCCAATTTTGCTAAATCATGGTTGGAGATACTCCTAGATGTGAGAAGCTATTATATTGATCATAATATACATTGATCATAATATGATCATAATATAAAATTATGTGTGTTAAAGGTTGGAGATACTCCTAGATGTAAGAAGCTATTATATTGATCATAGTATACAATTGTGTTTGTTAAAAGCGACTGATTTTGTTTATGGTGTTCATCAACAATCTGCCGGTCAGTGTGACCGAATATACAGCTATTTGATCAAATTGAAGGTTGAATATTCAGATAGTCGATTATTTGAATTGATTTAGCCCTAGTTTCTTCACAAGTTTCACAATCCAGAAATTCCGTTCCATGGCGTTTCAGAAAACCTGCTACTCTTTCTTTTCTCCCATGGAGAAGTTAATACTTCTTCAAATGGGCACCTGACATGATAGTTTTTCTTTTAAATAATGAATTGGATTTGTCCATGGTCAGACTTAACATTCACTCCCTTTTCCCTTTCAGCAATTCGTTTTCACAAAACCCTGGAAACCAGTATTACTCACAATGTCCATCTCCTTGACTGCCTCTTGCTCTCTGCGGCTCCTCTGCTGCTGTTCCTGTTCCAGTTGGAGGGATGCATCCAGAGCCTCCCGACGAGATTTACTCATCTGAAAAAAAAAAACCACACAGGCAAAAAAGACATGACACTAACATTACCCTTACATGTACTAAATACATGTACATCAAGCCAAGGAAACCCACATCTAGCTTTTTGTAAAAAAAAAAAAATTGTACATGAACATGTTATCACTGTAAACAGATTTACATCTTGAAAGCTCTGCCATCATTATAAAGAAATGGGCCACTACACAATGTATGTCCCAAATGAGGCATCTTGGGTTACTTTAACCTAAACAGCTCATTGTACATGTATTGTGGTGTTTTAATGTTTTATGTATATTCTTTATGTATTTTGCTATATATATTTCAATTTGTATTGTTTTTGTTTTTGTTTTAGCAGAGCAAGGACCACTTAATTTCCCCCATGTATATTATTTTATATGAGTGGCAAATACATTGTAAACTATGTAATGTAATGTATACCACTGTGGATTTGGAACACTGTAATAGAACGTTGTATTTAAACAGTTGCAAACCCTTCCATGACAGGGTTTGACATGGATGTGTTGAGTTGGCTTGTGCACCACTGAGCACAGTCTATGGCACCACTGCAAGGAATAATTTCCGAGGTGCATGTATTTAAGACTGGCTCAGGAAAATGGATGCTGATAATGCCCATTCTCCTGAGCTGGTCTTGAAGACAGGCCGAGTACATAGTTATTCCCTTGATTAAAACCTCAAAGGCAGAAGCAAGCAAATCATAATGTTTGTTAAGCGTCTGGTGTGTGTGCAGTTTATTTGCAGTGAGTGTACAGATCGGTTATGGTTAGCTTTATGGGAAACAGGATGTGGGGAGTTCAATTCATGCAAATGCAGGACTTCCAGGGGCCGAAAAGTGGAACTTTCTTCTTCCGACAGACTGATGACACCGTCATTAGTCACTACTGAACATTTTCACCATTCAGACAAGTGATACGGGGGCAAAATGCGATGCTGTCTCACAGATAACACAATGCAGACGGGCAATGGTACAGGTATTTCAAATAATCACTTGGATTACTATTAAAAGAAAGTTCTAAATAACTACCATGTCTCAACGATTTTTTTTAAAATACATGTACATGTATGTTTAGAAATGAATGTACATTCCAATATGAAAGGCATCCAGAAACATTAATAGATGTGAATTTCTTCAGATCTGAAATGGTTAGGCTCCTAAGTTCCCAAACACCTGAAGTCCGTAAACACATGAAACTGTGACAGGAACTCGGTGTTGAAGACGGATGCCACATGTATATGTGGGTATTCAATGCTACATTTATTTTTATAGTCCCCAACCCCTTTCACTTGACATTTAACAGAAAAGCGGTCGTTAGCCAAAGCATCAGTTTCATAGCCGCAAAGCAAAGCAAGCCGTTATATGCGACCATCTGCCAAAGTGGGCTACATGTACAAAAGTGAGACAATGAAAGAACATCCTGTCTGACGGAAGGACTTTCCAGTTCTCTCCAACAGTACATGTAAACTCATGGGTTTTACTCTCACAAAAGCAAACAGGACGGTTTCAAATTTAAAGACAGATACAAGGGAGCAATTTTTTGCCACACTTGCCATGCATGGTCAAATATAAAAGCCACGACAGCAAAGCCCTGCCACCGTATAAACTGGCTTGAAATCAATACTGTCAGCTGTAGAAGAGGACAGAAATCACACATACCCTTGATCTGTGCTTAAAATAGGAGAATGGATGCTACAAAAGGAAGGAATATTGTACTGAACATCAGTCTAGGCAGAAGTTTGACGTCCTACAAATGAAGTCTTTGGTTTAAAATGCTCAGTGGGTACACAAACTAAAACATAACAAAGTCAACGAGTTTCTTTGAAATCAAACAGAATTTGCTGAACAGTAAAGAGCGAAGACCAAACAAACACAAGAACTAGATGAAACTCGTACTTTATCTGTTCAAATCAAAACAAGCAAACATAAATTGGCCCTTTAGATCCTTTTGATTTCAATAGGGTCAGAATGTCTCTTGCAAACTCGCGACAAAAATGTTCTTTCTCATACTTGAACAAGCACTTCCACTTGTCTTACCATATTCTTGCAATTTAAAAATGTGTTGTATTACTTCTTGAATATTCATATTTTCTGTTCATTCAGCCTAACTTTTGGAAGACAAGGAATGGTTTAGTCTGGCCACGCAGTTCACAGTGTTAGTAAAAACCAACTATCTTTGGATGATCAACAACAACATACATGTACATGTATGCAGTATCTTAAATGGTTAAAACCTCACACGTGTAGGAGTGATCAATGTCTTACGGCAGTCCCCTCACCTGAGATTTGTACTCGCCAACGAGGGACTCATAGTCATGGATGCTGGTCTTGAGTTGGTCCACCTCACTTGTGGCAAAGGTCAGCTTGTCTTGCACAGTGGCTAGAGATGACTGAGAAACCATGCAAGGTATAAAAGTACATTACATGGAAGTCACTTACTACAATTGAACACTTTATAGAGAAAATCCATGCATGCAAAAGTTCAGAAAATTGTTAAAGGAGTGACCTGGCCTTGGCCAATGCAACATACATGTACATGTACATCTTGAAAACTGTGACTTCTTTTTTAACAGGCTCTAAAAATGACTGTACTGAAAAAGCTGACTGTCGTCTAGCTTTCTATTGTGGCACAAACACCCATCCCTTGTCTCATGTGTCCGTGTCTTTCTGTGTAAAGTCGATGGCCCTGCTGGTAGCCTACGCCTTGCCGGATTGTCGGTAGTTTTATTAGACAATTTCATTATGGGTTTATGGCATGAATGAAACAATACAACCAGTGGTAAGCTGTGGCAAAAGTTGTACATTTGAACTTACAGAAAACATACATGTAGACACAGCCTGAAAATATGAAAGTTTTGGCACGGATTTTATCCGTAGAGCATGCAGATTTGAAAAATAACTGGATACGACCCCCCCAAAAAAACATGTGGGGGGAGCACACATAGCTTGCATTGCTCACATTTAGATGGATGAGTAATTTGACTGTCTCAAAGTGATTTAGTAAACTCATTAAGTTCAAAAGGCGCTGTGTAACTCACCCGGAGTTTGTCATTCTCTAGTTTCAGTGTGGTAAGTTCAGTAGACTTGCTATGTAGTTTATGATTGAGGTCATCTGCTGTAACCCGCATGCTCATTTCAGCTTCTTTCAGCTTGTCTTCCAAATCATCAATCCTCCTAGCAATAAATCAAAACTGGGCCTTTCAATTAATGTCCAAACAAAAGGTGGAGACTTTTGAGTCTACCTATCAACAGGCATTCCAACAGGAAGAATGCAAACGACATGGAAATATTTTTCAAGATGTATTTTTGCGTTGGGGAGATGTTAATTATATATAACGGGTTTGCCCTTACCCAACGTATATTAACGTTAACGCCCTTACGTTAATTAACGTAAGGGCAAACCCGTTATATA